TTTTTTTTTTTTTTTTTTTTTTTTTTCTTTAGCGGGAGAGACGAGGATCGATCGCTGGAAAGACGCAGGAGCACGCTCACCGTGTGCGTCGCGATAGGCCTCCTTGTGATTCGACGTTGCGTTCTCGTTTTCGCTACGCTCCCACGAGTTACGTTGCTTGTGTTTCGGGCGTTGTTGCCTGGCGGGAAGGTGAGGGGATCTTCGTCGCCTGACGTGCGGACTCCTGTGATTTCCTGGTGAGCCCCGGCCGCCCCAGCTGCTATCCTGTAGGTCGGCTACAAAGGAAAGAGCCGGAATGGCACGTGACACAGATTAGAGACAAGGTATTTCTTTCTTTCTTTTTTTTTTTTTTCTTTCGTCGATTTCGATTTCTTTTTTCCGTTCGTATCTCTTTTTTTTTTCTTTTCTTTTCGATTTCGATCCATTTCGTGACAAACGTACGAGATTCGCGAGTGATGGTGTTGGTGGTGGTGGTCTACAGCCGTTTCTCCTCGACGTGTGTCTCGTGTGTTTTCTTTCTTACTTTTTTTCTTTTTTTAATCTCTGTTCTCTGCGTTTTTCGAAAATAGCGATCTGCAAACGTATCGAAACACCGCGTCTCGTGGCGCTGATGGACGGTCTGAAGGAAATATAAAGAGCACGGATCAACTGGATTCTTCGGAACCAGAGCTCGGGCTTCGCCGTATCTCGGCGAGTAATAAAAATTAGCCGCAAAGATGATGCCATCTTTGCGACCAATTGCGCGAGAGAAAAAAATTGCAAAGAAAAAAAATATATATATATATATATATCGTTGGAAGCATGCAACTACCGGCGCTTCCATCGTGGGAAGTGAAATTTACGCTAAAACGCGTAATACAGCCGATAAACGCGAGCAAAATTAGGATTAGATTAATCCCAACGAGAGTAAATATACTTGCGAATAAAATTTAAAGTCGTGGAGATTTAGACTCCTGGGTGGATCGTCGACCAACTATCGAGAGAAGAGAAATGTGCAGAATACACAGATACGTAACACAACAGCATGCACAGTCGATTCTTAAGGGCGCAGGCATAAGAGAGAAACGGGAAGAAGGTAAGCGAGAGAAAGTGTAAATTCGTCCTTCGTCCGCGACTTCCGTCCCGGGCTTCGTCCAACTCCGACGGATTTCCAATTCGTGGTTATTCTAGAGATTTTCTAGTTACCGTCACGAACGTCTCCTGCTTCGATTTCGTTCAACCCGTTCGCCATCGAGTCCAGACCTTCGTTCTCCGACCTTGCCTTGGTCGCAGCCGTATCCGGTTTCGTCCTCCACCCGCCACGCACGAAATTGTTCAGATTCGCGCTCGGGTCGGATAGCCTTCGTTGGTGTCGATACAAAAACAGTTCCTCGGCGTCGTCCCAGTCGGCGTCCCACAGGGAATCCGTGGCGCAATAGCCGGGCTCCGAGGTCGGTGTCTCCGCCCCCGAACCCTTCGGCTTCGTCACAGCCATCTCCGCGTGCCCCTTCCCTGAAAAGTAAAAAAAGTGTAGCGCTCCTCGGTCGAAACAAAGCAGAGAGAGAGAGAGAGAGAGAGAGAGAGAGAGCGAGAGCAGAGACGTTTCCTATCGTACCACGAGGCCCCTTCATTCGAACGAATTCTATGCGCTGGGAGGCCGCGCCGGAAAACAGGCCAAAGGTCATTCGCTGCGCCATTTTGGTGCTCAAGCTGGACTGGAAGTGAAAGCGACGGGACGAGGTTCGTTTAAAATAGCGATGTATGCGTGTAAACGTGCTTCTTTGATACAAAACGTACCCTGGCGTCGTATACTTTCTTCAGGGCGTCGTATCTGATAGAGCCGAGAAATATGACACCTTGAATCGCGCCCTCCCTGTCGGACGCCACCAGTTCCACGCACACCATCTCCCCGTCCCTGACTAGAATATCACAGAAAACTTCGTCGAAATTGTCCACCATGAAGCATATATGAGGATAGGTCATCTCCTCGAGATCACCCTTCGCGTCCATTCGTCTTCGGCTGGGGCTCGCGTACACTTTTTGCGAGTGCCTGCGCAATACCTGAAACGGTTATTTATGATTAGGGAAGAAGAGGGAGCGAAAAGAAGGTTGGAAGAAAAAAAATAATAAAATAAAAAGGAAAAAAAGAAAAAAGATTGGAAAAATTTTTGGGAGAAGAACGGCTCACTTGCAATTCCTTGGGGCTCGTCCTTGTGCAGATGGCTAAGGTCAGCGTGTAGTCGAATTGATGCACGACCAGATTCAGGTACACGGTTTCCTCCCAATCGATGTCGGGATCGCCGATAGGCAGCTTCTTGCTGTCCTTCCGGAACACGTCCACCTCCGTCTCGAATTTTGGCAAGTATCTCGACGACGTCTTCACGTGCTTCTTTCGCACGAAGAACAGCAAATCGTCGCCGTCGATCGTGTGCTCTGCCTGGAAGAGGAAGTGCCTGACAAACAGGTCCGTCCAGTAGGTTGTACCTTGAAGTATCACGAAGCCGGAGTCTGCGGGATGGAACATGGACGAGAGATTAATAAAAAAAAAAAAAAAAAAAAAANAAAAAAAAAAAAAAAAAAAAAAAAACAAAACGTGTGTGGTTCGATTAGAGCTCGACGAGAAGAAGAATAATATAGGTGATAAAGGATGCCAAAGAAAGGTCAGATGGATGGAAGAAAAAAAATAAATAAATAAATAAAGATTGATATTTTCAATTAACGGCAATAACGCGGTCAACTCGACGATTATACGCGAAGAAGCAGCGGGACGAAATAATTCTCAAGGGGACAGGAACTAACCGCGACCGAATCTCCGAGGCAATCGATAATCGATAAGAATGTGCCACGAGTATTTAATTGCAGCCTCTATTGTCAGCCTCGACATCTCAACGATGTTCCCTCATCCGCTTTATTAAAGGGTTGCACAACTTTATTAAAAACTTGGGTGAAACTTGACCTTCCGGCTGTTTAAAATAACTTGCGATCCTGTATAAATAGTTTATTAATTAATCTTCTCGTCGATGCGTGGGAATACGGTTGTATTAATTTTTATATTAATTTTCAAATTGATTGGAAAGAAAAAGAATGTTTCGTTTGAAAATCCATCGTTCGAAGAATGGAAATTACGATTTATTTATCCAAGAGGAAATTGCGTTGAGTCATACGTACGCGCAGCGTGCGTGTAATTGCTTGTTGACACCGCGTCGCGTCATATTACATTTATGGAACGACGGAACCGGTATGTAACAATTATTCGTTATTCGCGTAAACGTTGTATCTTACTTAACGATCGAAGGATAATCGATCAATATAACAGCGATTTCAAAAATATTCGAATATTAGAAAGCGAAGGAAAAAAACAACATACGTAACAACATCACATTAGACACGCATGCATTAACATCGCATATCGCGCTTGTTTTTCCTTCCAATGTTTTCAATCTAAGCCTACACTATATAATTGAGAATGCAAATTCATTGAAATCGATTCTTTTTCGATCCTTTCACTCACTAACGATATTAAACGCAGAGAGCGAAACGACGCATGGAGGAAAACGTGTACGCGAAGAAACGGTTTACCGAAAATAAACGTTCCCTAAACGGAAGCAAACAGAAGCGAGAGCACCACAGCCAGACTATCGTTTTTACTCGTTTTCCCCTCGTACAGGATGATCGATCGTGAAATCACCCTCGTCAGCCGAACAAAAGGCACCGTGGTCCCTCTCCGTGGAGAGGAACACACCCTCGTCGCGTGCACTCCCCCTCTCGAACGACTCCCCCAACTCGAGACCCCGCGTAAAACGAACCCCGTTTTTAAAAACATCGACTCCGAAACTCGGAAACTTAATTCGAATCAATCGAAATACGTCTGGAAATCATACGAACCATCCTTGAGCATCTGTCGAAGCTCCTTGGTCCTCTGAAAGTTGATCTCCTCGAGAAGCTGCTCCAGCATGGTCGGTGGCCTGGCCAGGCCCGACGACGAGCTGCCAGCCAGAGTGGCCATGCCCAGCCCTCCTCGTGCTTTCACGCCGCGATTCCTGCTGGCGTTCTGTCGCCACGATCACTCGGAGAGAGAGACAACAGCGAGCTAGGCAAGGCGAGGCGAGACGAGGCGAGGCGAGGCGCGCGTTTCCCTCGAATCACGGCCAGCCGAGAGACGTGGTCGCGTAGGAACCGAACGGAACGACAGAGGTCAGCCGCGAACCGGCCGAGATCGGCATCTCGCCTCCCGTTGTTAGATGCGCGATCTTCTCCTCGAGGTGGCCATACTGCCCAGTTTTTTCTCTTCTCCTTCAGCCGAGACTCGTTGCCACGAGATTGGATTCGCGTCGTGCTCGTGCTCGTGCTACTGCTCGCCACTTACTCACACGGTCACGCCACGCACCGTTCAGTTTACGTTCGCTACGGCGGAGGGACAGACAACGAAACCGACGACTCGACTCTCGCTCGTCAGAGCCGCTCGATAATTTCGCGCATGCGAATCGCGATGACGCCACCGACGCGCCAACGACGCGCTCCTTTCGAATACACGTTTATTTTTGTTCCATGCGCGAAGCGTTTCGTAAGAGCGGAAGAAACGATTCGACGAAACGTTTTAGATCTAGATTGGTCAGCTTGCTTCGTTTTAAGTGAAAGATAGCACGATATAGGCACGTAGTTTTTTTCTTTTATCTCTCTTATTGAATCTATGTTTAGAAATGGATTTAACTCTATTATTTTTTAATCTTCTAATCTTTTAAAAGAAATTTTAATAAACTCGAATTTTTGATAAGAATTTTTATTATAATTATAATTATATTTCTTAATCCGTCGATGCGTAATTATCAAAAGAAAAATCTGTTGTACGTAGAACGTTATTATTACGTAGATCTCTTTAAATGTGAATTACAATATCGAATGGTTAAATATGAATAGTTAGATATGGACATTTCCCTGAATTTGGTCGAAGGAAAAAGAAAATATTGAGCAAACGCGGACGTTACTATCTGGAACGCGTTATCTAAAAGTTGAAGCTACTTCCAGGGAGATACGACGATTCAAAACTGACCTCATGACTCGAGATAATGTCCGCCGAGTTTTGCTGTTGGTTTGTCGCGTTGCTGCTATAAGTATGCTCCCTTTACGAAACTCGCAATATCTTTAATTTAATATCGTAAATATCCAAAAAAACAATATCCATTTAAAACTTTTTAATTCGCTTAAATTATGAAAACTTATGGTAGATTATTATTATTTTTTCCTCCTATTCTTTCTCCATTTATCGAAATGAAGTCATTCGAATTCAAGAGACGAAGCGGGAAGCGTAGAGAAGCGAGTAACAAACTTGTGCACAACGTTTATGCACACACTCGAATTCTATTCGAGATTTCGAGCGAAAGAACGAAAGCGCGGGGCGAGCTTCCGCAGCAGACATTTTCGAATCGGCGCCGCTAACTTTCCTGATCCGCGATACCAGCCGTCCGGTTCGTCATCTCGTTTAGTCGTGCCCGATCGTTCTTGCATCTCGGCTGCTCTCTGCTCTTATTCGTCTACGCGAACCACCACTTTTCGTCGTTTGTCCGCGCGGAAAAAGAAAAGCGAAAGAAAGCAATCGTGTCTTTCAGCCCATCGGCACAGTGGCGTAGCAGGTGTGCGATTTTAAATTTTCTCTTTTTTCGTTTTTTTTATTACTTTTTTTTATTACGCGTGATAATTCAAAAAGTCGCGAAGTGAAATTTCTTTATTCGTTTTTCCTTTTTTCGATCGATTTTTAAGAAGGAAAAAAAAAACCAAGCTTTTTCGTTACGAAAAAGATATCGTTCTATATATTGTATGTATATTTCGTCAATTCTCGTAACGTTAGGTAATCGTTAAAATTTAATCCATAAGCACGAATTCACGCGAATCTCGCGAAAGAAGTCACGCTTTCGTTCGACGCTTCTAATTCGTTAAGACGTATCGGAGTTTTCTTTTTTCTTTTCCGCGAAATCGTGCGACGAGAAGTTTACGAGAAGTAAACTTTTCGCGATAATTTTGCTAAATTTCTCTCGAGAAAATTGTCTTCGATAAGGTTTGGATCCTGTAATTCAATCTATAAACTCGTCTATCGATAAACGATTTGTCGTTTCTCGAACGTGTACTCGAGTAAATTCAAGTTTCGACACCTTTTATTTCACCGAGACTTTATTACTTTCTTCCTATTTCGAAACACGCCACACACGTAGTCACTCGTTGCTTATCTTCCTTCCGTTGCTATATTCGTAACGTGAAAAAATTCGAACGATCGACAAACACGAGACCGCTTGCACAATCGTAACTTCTTAACAATAACCATTAATCACTGCGATCGATTTTTGCGATATTTGAAAAGTGTCTTTTTGTGCACGATTATTATTTTTAATTGCGAATTAGGCGTCATGACTCACGGGCGAATTCAGTGAGGGCGTGAAATCGTAGAGAAGACTGGCGAAGAACGAGAGTCGGAACGCGGTCTGCGCGCTGCGATCATTTTCTTTTCACGGTTCGCACGTTCGGCGAAATTTACGATCGATCAGGACGGCTGGAATTCATCGTTAATTCGCATCGCGTTTTCTCTGTGGTGAAAATTCACGCGAGCGAGAATTCGTGATTTGACCGTGGAAAATTCAACGAAGAGGAAGGTACGGATCGATTAAAACTTTTCCTCCTTTATCGATCGATATGCGCCTCGTCGATAAATACGAAATCGACCAAGTTTATACTTTTTTTTCCTCCCGCGATAAAAAAATATATTCTCGCGTTCATACATTTCTCACGAGAACAAAGCAGATTCGAATCAACTTGACGCACTGATTAACTATTATTCCGTTTAAAGACTCATCAACTCGTCGTATTTTTCCCCTCCACACCACCTACTTCGATCGTAATCGCATAGTAAGTTTACTCGTCCAACTACTTCTATTCTACCACTACACAAAATTTCGTCGCTTTTCCATCCTTATCCATCCACTTTTACTTTCCGCTTTTCGATCTTCTCCATTTTCTCCTAACCTGTTTGGCAGCCTGTCTACGAATGAAAGTATCCAAAGATTAACTCGATCGAAACTTTCAAAGTGGGATCCGCGGAAGCACGTGTACAATTTCCGTTCGCGAAACGCGCCGGTGTCCCTGTTTCTTCCTCACAACACGAGTCCATCGTTCTAGAAACCTATACACCTACATGGTCGAGAAACTGCCATCTTGAGAGAAAGAGAGAGAGAAAGAAAGAGTGAGTGAGAGAGAGAGAAAGATCTCGAACTCCCGACCCACTTCCACGCTCGCGCGTAACCCGATGCATCTCTTTTAGACCTCTGCCTCGATTATTATTATACTCTCCTCTCTCGCCTTCCACGCGACTCGCCTCTCTTTATCCACCTGTCGTTCAGGATCCATCGTCCTGCACGTATGCAGAGAATGTTCCACCACATCGAGATACATATCTGGCCATCAGATGTATCTATATGCAGAGGTCGTTTCATAACCAGTAACTTACCGTTATATATATTTGACGGACGAAACGTTCACGATCATTTTTCGTGCAATTGAATCGTTGGCAAACACACGTTGTCAAATCGTGGAGGAATATTTTGTATTTTGAATCGTTGTTGGATTGATTTGAACGCGATATTCGTACGAGTGAGCATCGAGCAAAGACCGTTAATGGAAATCTAAATGGGTAATATCGTGGAGAAGAGTATTCGGTTTATTATCCTGTCCTGTGTTGTTCGATCGATCGCAATGCGCGTTGAAGTTTCTCGTCACGATCACAGTTATAGAGACTCGTGTCTCGTAATTTCATGTTTTCATATATGTCGTGTCGAGGAAGCAAACGAAAGACGAGGGACGCGTTTCGCATGCCTCGGATCGATCGGAGAAAAATCTTTAAGAGAGAGAGAAAGAGAGGACAGTTGATCGAAATTGATTCGGAAAATTGAATGAATCTCCTTTCGAAATTCTTTCTTAGGAGTCTGTCACCTACCAAATTAAATCTCCAACTTTATCTTTTACTTCTAATTATGAAAGATTCGTTCTCTGCTCGATAACGCTTTCCAGATTAAAATAACATCTTTAAAACAACGATACGTTTTGTTTGACACGATTCAAGGATGCGACCTCTTGATATCGTCGCCCGTTCGTTCCTATTCATAGATAAAGATTAAAAGTGCTCATGCGCGTATATTTACTTCTCCATCTTTTTTTTTTTTTTTTTTTTTTTTTTTTTCAATTTCAACGCGCTGTACAAATCCGTCCAATCCGTCCAATTATTTGACAAATTATCCGCTCGTTGTTTCCTGTATCGAGAGGATTAGTCGGATATTATAATTTGTGTTCGACAGAATCGAGAGAGCATCGATCATTTCAAGCTTCGTCATGTTGCTCCTGACCGTGACAGCGTGTCTGGTGATCACGGTGCAGGCCGGATGCCCTATGAGACCGACCGCGGAACAAACTTCCGCATCGAGGACCACGGGTGACGGTGGTTACAGGATACTCGTTAGCGGGAAGGCCGACAAATATATTCCCAACGCTGTTTACACGATCAGTTTGCAAGGTAACAACGATTTTCCCCTTCTTCTAAAAAGATATCTGCAACCGTGTAATATAACCCTTTCGCTATCGTATACCATAATGAACGACACTGTTGTTGATTTCCGCTAGTTGGTTCACAGATAAGCGAAGCAACGCGTTGCGTCTTACAATTTTCTTTGGGATGAATTAATCGTTTCTTGTTTATTTCAGGGATATACTTTTACGTATTATAGACGAATTGTGGTTTTTGAATGAAATTATTTATTACTTAGTTATTACTTAGTTATTAATTAAATTATTTATTAATTAGTTAAAAAAAAAATTGTAATGGATTAATGATGGTTAGATGATGGATAGCGAAAGGGGAGAGGCTTCGATCGTTTATATTATCGCGATAAATTCGATTTCAGGCTCGCAAACGCACGAGAGATTGCAACAGTTCACGCATTTCACTCTCTCCGTCAATTCGCAACACGCGCCCAATAATCCTACGGCTCGAGTAGGATACTTCCAACTGTTCCCCGATGGTTTGACCACGTTCAACGAAGATTGTGTCAATACCATCTCCGAAGCTTCAGATTATCCGAAGAACGAGGTGAATTACTCTCTATAGAATCTTCTTCTTCTTCTTCTTTTTTTTCTGTTAAAAGATTCGATATCGGGGTTTACGATGTTGGGTACACAGAGGCGAAAATGCAGGGGGCGCAGATAACGCGGATAAATTTCTGACGATTGGCCGGTGGCCAACCGTCAGAGATGTTTGATCCAGCCGCGTTATCGTGGGCAGAGGCCGCGAATTTCCGCAACCAGAACCGCGTGATATAAAACGTCTTCTTACCTTGGCTCAGGTCCAAGTGATGTGGAGGGCACCGCCGTCAGGATCGGGATGCGTTATCTTCACAGCCATGGTCTTGGAGAATAACGTGCGCTGGTACGCCGAGGATGGAGCTTTGACCAAGACCTTCTGCGAGATGGACTCAGCCGAGGTCGAGGCCTTGGACGGGGAGAAGTGTTGCGCCTGCGACGAGGCCAAGTACTCGGTTAGCGCGAATAAAATTAATT